AAAAAGTTTCCACTGATACTTAAGCATGAAATACCACGGTAGGTATTTTGTAAATAACATATATGTAAATAAAATTCCGAAACTGTACTTTAAACTTTAAATTAATAAGGAGCAATAAATTCTAAATACAAAGAATTGGGTTTGTGTTGAAGAGCTGCTAAGTCATTTATTTACATAATCTCTCTTTTTAAAATGTAAAGAAGTGTAAATGTATATCTAATGGATTGAAGTAAGTTAGGTAAAATATGAGCATTGCATTAATGATGCAATTCAATCAATTTGAGTTTTATTTAGACCTTATCACCAGGCTTCTATAAATATTTAGTTTATACGTAGAGTTGCATTTCAAGTTTAATGGTGCAACGCAAAAACATTTAGTAGTGCATAATTTGTATCTTAATGCCCATTTACATTGCAACTGGGCTAAGTTGTAACCTGCGTACAGCTGTGCAGCCGGCCCCAAGATGTTAATTTTGTTCTTTAAGTTGAGGACATGACTCGCCTACGGTAAGCTGTCTGTAGTATGAAAACTCTGTAGATGCTCTGTCTAAATAAAACGTTGCTGTTGGCTGCTTGAATTCCCAGCTGAGGTGTCCCAGTTTGAGCTGTGCTTTTAGGTTTATTTGCAGCACATCTGAAGCTTTCTGCTGAAACAGCAGTCTGGTCCACCTGTTAGTCCTTAGAGGGCTCGCACTTTGTGGAACGAAAGCTGTCAGATGCCTTCACACACTATCTCTCTCACTCTCTGTCCTCAGTCTGCCATCTACAAGATCTGCAAAGAGATGTTTACTGAGGACTGTGACGGCATCTCTTTCTCAGATGAGTCACCGGACCTTATTGGAGACAGGTTTGGTTTGAGCTTCCACTTTTAGTCACATTAATGTATTATGGGTGCTTGATTAATAACATGTGAACTTTGTACCATCATCTTCCTCATTGCAGGTTAGTGGGAGGTTTCCTGACACTCAGCCCAGACTATGGCTTTGTGCTTGAGGATGAGGAAGGTATCTGCGGCTATGCTCTGGGCACTGTGGATGTCAAACCTTTTGTGAAGAAATGCAAGATGAGTTGGATTCCATTCATGCAGGAGAAATACAACAAGCCAGACACAGAGAAGGACATGTCAGAGGCTGAGGTTAGCATGTCATGTCTTCATCAAACCCAACAAACTATTCTTTTTATGGAACAATTTACTGAATCTTCAGACAAAATCTAATATATATATATATATATA